AAGTTCCATACCCTGAAGTACCACATCAGCGACAGAATCCGCAACAACGTTGGGATCGTCCGGCGAGAAGCAATCCCGCCCCCAAGGGTAGGATGCAAAGAAAGACCGCATCCCATCCCAATCGGCTGACCTATAGTGCCAAACACGGCGGCAGCCTGCAGAATGCAACCGCGATTTCAGCGTGAGTGGCACTACACTCCGGACAAGACAATGGTCCGAGGAGCCTAAAGGGGCGTCGACGGAAATCTGATATCCGTCCGGGTGAGAGGTCAGCAGAAGGTCCAACAGGGAAGGTGCATGATCCTCCACATCTGGAATCCGCGTAGGCGAAGTAACCAGTTGTGTCAGACCATATGACAAGGCAAAATCATGAACAGATCTCCCCGCATGATCGGTTAAACGTGAACCGAGCCATTCGGCGTGATGGGCGTTAAAGTCGCCGAGGATCACGATCTCTGCGGAGGGGATCTGCTGTAGCAACGAATCTGCAGCCATTTGGACGTGGTCGAAGAGTCGGTCTGTTTCGGCATTACCGCTGTGGGACCTATAGAGGCACCCGTAGACGCGCGGATGGTCGTCGCTGTCTACGCGTAGCCAAAGGATGGACAGGTCCGAACCTTCAAGTCTGCCGAGGCGTCGAGAACAGATGTCCTCTCTGACGTAAACGCAAACTCCAGCCCGAGGCACAAAGGAGTGTTCCAGTTTGTACCCCGGGTAGGAGAGATACGAGACATCAGCCGGAGAGGACACCTGCGTCTCGGTCAGAAAGAGCAGAGCCGGCCTCGCCGTCTCGAGAGGGTAGTGGACGGCGTTTAGGTTGGAGTGAAGTACCCTGATAGTGCAGAAATTCACGGACAGCGTGGCAGGGGTCGCCTTGGTCTTGTTGCTCCGTTTGCCCCGAGCAGTTTTAGTCTTGAGCGGAATTTTGCCCCCTCCAGAATACGCGGGGCAGCCTGAGCACCCACGCTCAGAAGTGGAAAAACATGGTCGTGGATGCTCAGCGAGGGATTCTCCAGGGGTGCTGGTACCCTCCTTGTAGTCTATCATTGAATTCCGCTACCATGTTGATGGGGGGGGGGGGATTTGGGCCTCCGGCCACCTGCACTCACCAGACGAAACGCGGAAGCGGAGCTTCCACTTCACGCCGGTATTCTGTGAGGTCGTGGTACCACCCCGGTTTGAGCCGGCCCATACGTGCGACAGCAAAGCTGCCGCGTGGCTCTACCACTGTTGAATTAAATTTAATTTAAAATACGTCAATATAAACGGGATAGAGTGACACGTGCAATTATTTGCGAGTGACATGCCGAGTTAAAAAACTTCAAATTAGCAAACACTTGTTCTACATGATTGCTTTTAAATTTAATTTCAGGTTCAGCCTTTAATTTTAAAATAATATAAATATTTTATACGAAATACTTAACCACTTAAAATCCAATGTAGGTGACAACAGATTGCTCTTGTACTTTGGAATTGAAGGAGAGCCTAGCCCCTTATACACTACAGCTAATGACTGTATAAAACTGTACTAATACAGCTAATCTAGTAGCAATAATGTGTAATTGTGACGGGGATATATTACGGTGAAACTGTAATTGTTATGTAAGGAATGTATAATGCGTTACTAATTGCGTAAGAAAGAGAGATAGTTGAGCATCCGCTCTCACACCTTTGTTACTTTTAGAAATTGGCCTCCTGAATGGTTTCTGATAGTAAGGAGGATTTTTTTACCGAATAATATACTATATTTAATCTTATAAAGGGTGTAAATCGAGCTCGTAGTGGGCACAAATAAATTATGGCTATAGTGTGAAGTACATGATAACAATTCGTAATATATGTTCTAAAATAAAATAATAATATGTCCTCCAGACTGAATTTCGGTCATATTGACCAGTCTCAATTGATACTAGCCATCTGCGCAGAATAAGATAATAAGATATATTGCACCACCTATGAGTTTAAGAGAATAGATAGTCAAATGTGCGCCACATATTCCCTTAAACTCATAGGTCAATGTACCTGCAACAATCCGAGACCAACAGAGAGGTCAGGCGTAAGACCAACGGTTTTGCGTGCCTTCCGTAGTACGGCGGTGAAGCACCGCCAACATTCTGGGCTGCTGCTGAGAATTTAACAACAGAAAAAAATAGATTCTGGCCCGACCGGAGATTCAAACCACAGACGACATGATCAGCTGTCGCGCTTACGGTTACTAGACAAACGAGGCAGTCAAGTCTATAATGTAGAATATATCAATACCGAGTATTCTTTAAAACATTTTTAATAACATGTTTTAATATTGGTAATAGCAGAGCGGCCAATATTTTATCAAATAGTAATAAAATCTGCTAAGTAAGACATAAATTAATAAAAAAATGATAATCAGCTAAAGGTCAAAATTATATAAAATTTCGTTACTTCTCTAACATTTCCAAATTTATATAAAATTTATTACATACCACATTATATCCAAGATTACAATTGTGTTTCGTGTACGGAATAATAATATTTCTCCGGGTGTACACCGACAATACTACAAGCTAAATAAACATTATATATTCCTTAAATATCTCTACGGATGATAAATGTGTGTAGGGGACTATACTCGTACTTCCGGAAATTGCCAGTTGTCATCCATGGAATCTTTATTTCACTCTCATAAAATTCCATTGAATTTTTAACTTTCCACGGTTTTTGTAATATCTACTTATTCTACGCGATCTACATATCGTATTTGCTATTTTAATTAATAAAATTAAGTATTTTTATTTTTCGTCTGTTAAAAACTAATTTCATTATTTTGATAGTATTCAAACCTTCAATAGATAATTAAAATTTATAATGTATTGAATCTTTGTTAAAATTTTTAACTTTTATGATTTATATCTACACAGTCTGTTCAAAAAGTATCGCGAATTTTGTAAATTTTCAAAAAGTATTTATTTATTCATGAATATCTATTTTGTCTCCTTCAAAGTGATCACATCAATGCACTTGTGCCAACGTTTTTTCCAATCATCGAAGAACTTAAAAAAATAATTTTTCGTGATTTTCTTCAGCTCCTCCATCGCCGTCTTTATTTCTTCAATCGTGGTGAAGCGTAGTCCTTTCATGGGCCTCTTCAGTTTTGGGAACATGAAAAAGTCACAGGGGGCCAGATCTGGAGAATACAGTGACTGTGGGACCATTACCGTGTTGTTTTTGGATAAATATTAGCGTACAAGCAACGATATGTGAGCAGGGGCGTTATCATGGTGCAAAAGCCAGTTTTTGTTCTTCACAAATCAGGGCGTTTCTGGCGGATTGCTTCGAGTAAATTGCACATAACTTGCAGGTAATATTCCTTATTGACCGTACTACGCTGTAGCAAGAACTCATGATGCACCACGCCCCTGCAATCGAAGAAAACTGTGAGCAAAATCTTCACGTTCGACCGAACTTGGCGCGCTTGGTCTTGGCTCATGCTTCAGCTTCCATTAGGGATGATTGAGCTTTGGTTTCCACGTCATAACCATAAACCCCTGATTCGTCACCATTTATGACCCTCTGGAGCACGTATGGGTCGTCACGTACCGAGTCCAACATCTCCTGAGCAATATTAACGCGATGCTGTTTTTGGTCGAAATTGAGCAATTTTGGCACGAATTTCGCGGCGACCCAACTCATGCCCAAATCATTACTTACAATCGAATGGCACAAGCCAATCGATATGTTTAGGTCCTCCGCAACTTCTCTAACGATGATTCGACGATAGGCCAATAATATTTACTTCACTTTATCAATTTTATCGTCTGTTGTTGACGTGCTCGGGCGTCCGGCAAGTTGTTCGTCGTTCACATCTTCTCGGCCCTCTGAGAACATTTTGTAGCACCGATTAACGTTGATTTGGTCCAAGGTAGCTTCACCATATGCTACAGTTAACATTAGGAATGTGTCTGCGTACTTCATTTTGTTTTTACCTCAAAATTTAATACAGATTCTTTGATCCATTTTTTGGAATAGGCAAAAATCGAAGACGAGCCAAAACACATCTAAGCATAAACAGTTGTCAAAAATTAACTAAACGTTCAAAATGGCTGACCTTGTCAGCATAAGTAAGGGATATGAGTACCGACATAAAGCTACAAAAAATCAAAAATCAAATATACGTAGCCTGAGGAAATTCAAAATTCGCGATACTTTTTGAACAGACCTCGTATTACAAAATTATTTTACAATTCAATTTAACTCGCACAAAGTACCCTTATACAACATTTGTATTCATTAAATTATGAATTCATTTAGTCCGGTACAGTAAAACAATAATCCACATAATTTCCAGGTAATCCACAAAATGACAGCCGTCTCGTACCCGTAATTTTGCAGCATATACATTTATTAGGGTATGTAGAAGTTGAGTAAAATAGTAAGAGTAATTTTCACTGCTGTAGTTTTAATCTACTAGCGTATAGCGCTCCTTTTAAAGTAGCAATGTAAATCAAATTATGTTCAGTATTCAATGAACATTTAATATAAAACGATACATAGTAAAAATGTCTGGGAAACAAGCCCGCAACCACCGAGCTACGTCAGTCGCCTACGAAACGTGGCTACGATAGCTACGCTCGGGCTACGGCAATCTACTTCTTATAATAAACTCGTGTTATACAGGGTTTAAACGTTTACATCAAATACATTATATTTAAAAAATTGGACACATTTTAAACTTTTCTTTATCTGACGTTCTTCTAACCTCCGATATTTTTATTATAGAGTGCTTTTCAATATTTTAATTATGATTTTTCCTACTTCATTAATATATTACAAACAGGAAAAATAAATTTCTTTAAAAGTTAATATACGCGCAAATCTCTACTACTTTGTTATCTACATTTATTTTTTAAGCGGTTTGAAGGAACAAATTGTTTCAGTGACACAATACAACGATAAAAACCAAAGAGGGAGAGGGATCAGAACGAATTCCCACGTCGAAGGACTTGTTTATATTTAATCAACCAATGTGCTTGAATGTGGCAATATTATTAAATGTCTTTAACTTGTTTATAACAGGTGATATAATTCCTATTGCTATTCCAATTTAATTTTATAAATACTTTAAGCCCAGTATACTCTCAATCAGAAGTGCTGGAGCCGACATAGTTTAAATTTTTTACTTTATGTTAATTTTTGCTTCGTAGCTTATCAGGAAAATCTATAACTCAAATTATTAAGTAATTGTTGTGGTGATTGGTAGAGTATATAGTCCTACAGATTGAGCCATAATACAATTTTGCTCTAAATTAATCAAACTATAGCAAAATCTCTCAATTTCACCACAATACTCTAAGCTAACAATAATTAAAATGATATAGAACTTTATCCAAAGTAGCGAAAGCACCTATAATAAAAATATTTAAACAAAAAATTAATTAAACCATAACAATAATTATTCGTTCTAATAAAAATATAAATTTAAATAATACTTTTAATGAAACAATTGGTGAATTGCAGTACAATTTATGCTCTTCAGGATGTGGACATTGATATGGTACTCGAGTATTCTCGCTATTTTGGTGGCTGACATACGAACGGGTGCACTGAAAAGTATAGGTAATGAAAAAATGAACCAACTATTTATAAATTATCAAATATTTTTAAAATTAACAGATTTTTTAAACATTAAAGTGAAAAACGATCTAACCCAATGATGCTGGATATTGTTACCAAATTAAAATAAAGAAGGTAAGCCATTACCTGTAATAATATTGGCTCTGCTACGAGTATCATTCCAACACTGGCTTATTCTGATAAATTTCTAGGCAGATATGGAATTGCGTAGCTTACATTTACTCGTCGCTGTGGAAGATTTCATTAACCTGCGTCGCACATAGCTTAAAGTTCGTCTTATTTCAATCTTCTTAGCGTATAGATGACAAGGTTAACATAAATTATTTTGTATAAGGTAATATCAATTTTAAACTATTGTACAAATTCATCTATCATTACCTTACTTGTTGATGATTGTTTTACTGATATTTTGACAGTGAGCTTGCTTTTCGTGTTTTAAAATACTAAGCTAAGGTTTTAAAAATGTTATTTTTTTAAAAAACTTTACAAAAGTTCGTAACAATCTAGAATAAAAATCTGGTGTATCATCCTCATTAACCATACATGATAAATAAATGTTGGTTATTTAGAACATACATTTTACTTTAAAAGTGGAAAAATCATTGATTAAATTTCAAAGGCCAATAATTGTGCACTTTTTAAATTATGGTCTTAAAATCTGTATGAAAACCAATTTAGTTAATAGAAATAATATAAAAAGAGAGAAAGAACAATTCTTGAAAAGTAATAAAACACCCATAAACAGTTCAAAGCTAGCTAAATGCTTCGATATTCGACATCTGTCTAAATTAATAGAGTATTATTTAAGTCGCTGTTCCGGATGCTTTAAGTATTAAAAAAACTATTATATTATTGTAATTCAAAAGATTATTAATTTATATTGTACTTATTAAACATATATGTACGTACTTGTCAGAAATTAAAAGTATAAAGCCATATTTTTAATGTATTATTGACAGTTTTAGATATATCATCTCTTTTATTTTTTTTTATTAAACATTAAAAAAATTGTCTTTTAAACCTATACCAAATTAGTAAGAGTTAAAAAAATCAATAATGTATTATACTCGTACATAAGTAAATATGCGTAAAAATATATGCCGAGAAACAAATTCTAAGTGTTAGGATGATAAAAGCCTCTAATTAATTAATTAATTACAGCCGACTAATTTTAGCACATATAGCATATAGCACATTCACAATTTCACCATCGCACATCGCGAAAAAACTCGCGTTACCATCCGTACCATTTGAATGACCGGCTGTCCACCACTGTGCGATTTAAAAAATCTAAAAAAAATCACTTGAAATTCATCAATAACATTCATAATTTTGTATCAATTAAATCATCTATAAATAGAGTTCAGGGGTAAAGGTATTCTGTTAGAATAATCTCATCACTTAGATGAACAAATATTTTTGTAATTAAATTGAACTATTTCATGTAATAATACTAGACTGGATATTTACTATAAAATAAGAGATCGTATTTTCGTATTTGCGGCGCATGAAAAAAAATAACTAAAAACAAAAACTATGTGGAAATTATTAATTTCGCTGAAAACGCCAAAAAAAAAAAAATTAAACGAATTTCTGTCGGACTGAATTTAATTTTTTTTAATCAAAAGTCCACTGATGTACATAGGCCTCCTTCATAAATTTATTGCTAAGTTGGGCAGGCAAGTTAACCGCAGTTTAGAATTGTTATCATGAAGTAATCTCCTATTTAATTTTCCTTTATCGCCTCTTACTAAACCCACGAGATATTAGAGTGTATTTATTTACAGTGTCACTACTTGTACTCTATCAATAATACATTTATTATGAGAATGAATTATTCATTGATATTTATAAAACATATTTGCTTTTTTACTGATGGTGTTATAATGTTAGTGTCGAGTAGACTTCTTTTGTTTGTCGCCGAAGGATGTCATCGTGATTAAATCCCGCAAAGAGGACTTCGCCATCATTACTAAAAAAGAATATCAAATCCAACTACAATTTAGTTGTTTTATGGTCTACTTAAAATATATTGCTTCTTTTATTAAAGCGATAAACTTGAGAAAAGGCCTACTGACGATAAGTGTCTATTGCAGCCGATGGAAAACTGTAAACAAATTTAAAGACATTGCAGTCCACGGATGTGTTTTAGTGAACGAAAGAAGAATAAGATGAAACGTCTTACTGCCTGGTTCACTTAATTAGACTTTATTTTATTTCTTTATTATATTATATATAGACAAAGCTAAAGAAAGTTTATTTGTATAAGTATGGGTGTGAAAATATAAATCATACTTATATGATGTTTGCAGAAATAATGTTATAGTAGAAACTACCGCTTATGTTTTTCCCTTAACGGCATGCTATAATATTATGTAATTTCATAAATATATAAGAAAAGAAGAATTATTACAGTAGCAATTTCATTTAAGGAATAAATTATTCAGAATTTTTTAATGAAGAAGTGATAGTAAAATTTGTCTATATCTATTACCAGTGTATGCAATTATTCCTTCATCATCATCATCAATATAGCTCATAACAAGTCCACTGCTGAACACAGTCCTGCCCCAAGGAATGTCACAAAGAACGTTCATGTGCCATCTGCATCCGTTGACATTCACAGTAGTACATTCAAGCAGTTACTCAGTTTATTGTGTGTGTGTGTGTGTGTGTCGGGGGGGGGGGGGGGTTATAGTACTTCCTGTACTGGTTACACTGGTACTGGTTACTTAAATATTTGTTTGATTGAATTATTTTTAATTCTTCAAAATGTGTTATGTCATAAATTATTGAAGCTGCGTTTTTTGTTATAAACTAATATATATATATATATATATATATATATATATATATATATATATATATAGCATAATATTTCTTATATTAAATTATTATCAATCTTATATGAAATCTGCTTATATGAAGTAGAAGTAAAAACGTACCTTTCATTAAACTAGGTTTTGTAACTTTCCATCTACATGTATAGCACGAATGGATCTATTCTGGGCTTGGAAAACCATTTCTTTATTTTTTTATTTCATATATCTAACTTAATCTGTACTTAATAATATGCTCTAAGTAATACATTTATATTTAGCATATTTATGTAGTTTTGTTAGTCACATAGTTTTGTAGGATGAAGTTGTTATTGTAGTTTACGGCGTCGTCATTTGACACATTCACGTGACTTGTTAATTTAACAACTTCTAAACAGCACTTGAAGGTATCTAATTCTTCTGACATATTATAATGAGTTTGTTTCCTGAAAATTTACATTACGGAAGTATGTAGTTAACTCGTCCCAATTGTTGTTGCGAATGAATGCCTATGTATAACTTCTTAATACCTATTTTAACAAACTCTGATTCGCTTTAAATCAAATAAAAACATTTTCCAAGCCCGCAGTTCTTTAAAACGGTTTGTTCTATGACACGAGAAACTGTGAAACATTTATGCTTGTTGGATTCGTTTGTTCTTTCCTTATTACGCTTTAGTGTTCGATTACTACATTTGTAACGCTGAATTGAAATCGCTGCTAATCAAGTTTGTGAATGTGATGGATCTTTACATTTGAGTTTATTTACATGTTACTGATATATATATATATATATATATATATATATATATATATATATATATATATATATAGCCCATTTTTATAGAAAATAGTGAGAAACAAGCATCTTATCTTTCCAACGGATATAGAACGACGAGTGAACGCAGGAAATAAAGTAAATGGGTTCTACACTCTATTGTGTAAAGTCAGAATGTGTCAAAAGAGGCACGTATGGCAATTCACAATGCTGTCCCTGCTTTGAAATATGGTAGTGAGAGTTGGGTATGGCAGAAGAAGCACGAGAGTGGAATAAATGCAGTAGAAATGCATATGTTAGGGCTGAATCTGAGTGAGAGGGGTGAGATATTGAATGATCAAAGAAGAGTGTGGTTTGCAAGATGATGCGGTCATGTAGAAAGAATGAATGAAGAAAGAGTGACAAAGCAAATTTATGTTGCAGAAGTGAATGGAAGAGTCGGAAAGGGACGTCCACGTATCTTGTCTGCGTTACTTTATCGGCCCTGAACTCCATTGCTGAATATTTGCTGTTTTAGGGGAAATATGTCTTAATCGTCAAGCTTGGTAGGCGGTGTAAATCACACTGCCATCTCTTTTGCACCTTTGATACTGCTGCCTGTCCCTAGTTCGGGTATTTCCCGTCGAACATAAACGAGATGTTTTTACTGCTATCTATCGGAAGCCTTAGGTTTTTATGGAATTACCCATAATCGCTTCTTGAACTGAAATGAAATGTAGTATCGGCTTGTATCTTTATTGATTAAATAATATTATACTACATACATTTATAGTGACGTAAAAAAGCGAAAACCATGCTCAACTTATTGCACGTAGACGCATTCTGCAACAATACATAAGCATCGAAAATAGTTTACAACCAACGATATGGTTTTTAGGTTCATATATGTGCTTCCACCAGTATACGTTTGTGGGCTCTTTAACAAAGATGTGTGCGGGAGTGCGCGTTAAGAAGTGGAGCATAATTTTTACGTCAATTGAAATATACTCAGCGTTTCGTCTATCTTTCTTTATTGGTATGAAACTAAATAATAAAAGAAACATATCAGCATAAATGTATTATGAAAATTACTCATATTTTTGTTTAATTGAGAATTGCTCCTTTTCACAGATATACCGCCACAGCGGTGTTACGAGTGTGTAAATGCAAACAGTACGACACAGTGTTCTTTTCAAAAAGCTCCTGTTTTATGCCCCGCACAACAACCGCTTTGTGGAACAGTAGCCGTTGGACCAAGTCAGTATTTAAGATTGTTAATTTCTTTTACATTGTAATAAAATTATATTGTTATTTAAAGAGACAGTAGCCCAATGATTAAAGGTAAGGACCGCAAATTTATACATTCTTGGGTTCAAATCCGCAATTGCTACTGCGGTGAATCACTCTTAACAATTACAAACTTTTCAGTTTAGTTGGAGTGGTTGGTATTATTAATGTAAGTAGTATTACTAGTGTTAATTAAGAAAAAAATCATAATCGAATATCTTTTTGTCATATAACATTTGTGTAAAGTTTAAAAAAAAATTGGTTTTATATATTTCATATGAATTAGTCCTGATATACATATTAAAGTCAATTCTGAGTTATTTGTTATTCATTAGCAGAAGTAATCCGCCAATTGAATTTCATCATCATCATCATTACAGCCCTTTACAAGTCCACTGCTGAACATAGGCCTCCCCCAAGTAATGCCACAAAGCACGGTCCTGAGCCACCTGCATCCACCGACTTCCTGCCACTTTGCCTGGCGTATGTAGACTATGAGAAAGCCTTTGATTCCGTCGAAATTTGGGCGGTGCTACAGTCCCTTCAGCGGTGCCAAGTTGGCTGTCGGTATATCGAAGTGCTGAAGTGTTTGTACAGTAGGGCTACGATGGCTATGCGAGTACAGAACCAGAGTTCGAAACCTATCCAACTGCAGAGAGGTGGTGGAAGACGTTTTCAAGCTACTGGACTGGAAAGGATACGGTATTAACATCAATGGCGAGTACATCACTCACCTTCGATTTGCTGACGATATAGTCCTTATGGCAGAATCGCTGGAGGACCTTAGCACTATGCTCAATGACCTCAATGATGTCTCCCAACGGATAGATCTTAAGATGAACATAGACAAAACAAAGATCATGTTTAATGTCCATGTCACACCTATGCCGGTAGTTGTTGGGAGCACTATGCTCGAAGTTGTTGACGAGTACGTTTACCTGGGACATATAGTCCGACTAGGTAAGTCCAACTTCGACCTAGAGATCAATCGACGGATTCAACTTAGCTGGGTAGCTCGAAGAACCGATAACCGATGGGGAAGAAAGGTTCTCGAGTGGCAGCCTCGTACCGGTAGGCGTAGTGTAGGGCGACCCCCCACTAGATGGAGTGACGACCTGGTAAGACAATTGAATTTATTGTAATTAAAAAGTCATTTCGAGTTCATTTACTTCTCTTACTCACTAGATATCTGCCGTCAATCCACTGTTGGACATGAGTCTCTTCCAATATTGGAATTTCGAAATTTGCCATATTTGTTAGTAAATAGAGTGTGGCAAGGAAATAGAGCGATCGAAGCACTATACTTTGCCCATCAATGACGTTGATTCACTTCGCCGATTAGCGCATTCCAGATCTAGTAGCGTACATGAGCAGTAATAAAAATTATTTACTTTACAGGTTTTACTTCATTTCTCAAATGTTTACCCGCCTTCAAGACTACTTGTTCTATAAAAGTTACTACACACGCAACATTAAAAATGTCTTGTGTATGTACTGAACAACTTTGCAATGCGCCTTTCTCAAAAAATATTCAAAATGAACTGCTACATTTTGAAAAGGATAAATTATTAGAAAACAGCAGTGACCTAACAACTACTTTTTTTAAATCTCTCAAACTAGAAAATGTAACAGATCTATACAAAACCATTACATTCAATGAACAAAAAGAAAAGAATATTTCGACGAATAACAATTCGACACCGCCACCTGTTTTAAAATTAACAGAACTACCGTTAGTGAATTTTAACAATTCAATCAAAGTCGGTGCTCCACATGCAGAGCAGTTAAAGCACGAAGCGACGGTGCCGCCAGACGATGATGAGGATGAAAGTGAAGGAAGTGGATCATACGAGGATTCTAGATCACAAAAAAATCCACCATCTGCCCCAGCTGCACCTAGTTCATATCTACCAGCAGAGGAAAACAAAGCGTCTTTAGATTTCATAAACGCTTTAGCTGTAGTACCTTTAATAATTTGTATTATCCTTTAAATATGTATTCATATTAATACTTTATAAATATTTTATCAATAAGAAATTAGTTCGTACATCTAAGAATTTTATTATTTTTGTAGTATAGGCCCTTATTAATTAAGCATGGGAACAAATTGATAAAAATATCCTTTGACATTAGATGTTCTTTCTTTAGTAAAGATTTTTTGAGATAACTCAAAACAATCACCTAAATCAATTGTTAGCTCTGCATATTATATATTACAACTTAAATTTTGCCACAAAAATTTTGTAAATGTTGCTGCACCACTTGGCCTTTTTATTCACATTATAATATAGAAGCATATAATATACTTCACTATAAAACAAAATTGTGACAATATATCACACCCTACCTAAAAATATATTCCGTTGTTATTAACTTAGTTTGTATATTAAGACATAAAAAGGCAACACCAGAGAATTCGAAATCAGTTCATTTTAGCAGGTTATGTTAGTGTTTTCGTCACATTAATTTAGCATCGTCTACTATTCAATTCGGTTTAAAATTGTGCCAAATAAATACATTTTAGCTACGCTTAGGTTAATAGTTAATATTATTATGCTCATGTAAATGTTATTAACGTGGTAAAGTTATCGTGCTGCTATAATATGGTTGCACGAACGAGTTGGCTCGCTTGGGAAAAGACCACGCTATCACAGAATCATCTCATCATCATTATCGTCATTACCGTCCATCGTAAACTACTACAGAACATAGACTTCCCCTAAAAAATCCCACAGAGAACGCTTCTATAACAGAATACCAGCGTAAAATGGCAGCACAATGATCTTATATTTCATATGGTGAATGTAGAGAACTGGAGACCGTTTTACTGGTAACGAGGCATTCTGTCTTAGTCTCCAGGGGTGACAACATATTTACATTTTCATTTTTGATCGAGAATGGATGTCTACGGGTCGTTTGTCACCCATATTCTAAAAATGTCACACAAATTCAAATTGCATTAAGTTATTTTACTTTACGCAAACAGTATTTCAACAGAAGAAGTAGGAAAGATAAATAAGTAAATATGTGAAATAAAATGCACTTATTCAACTTTGCCTAGTTAAACATGGCTATGTTAAATGATTTTTTGTAGATTGATTTCTTATCTTTTTAGAATAGGTATATTATTGAAACTGTAGAAGTATTACGAATAATTCTAGTTATAAGATTCATTCTATGTCATCTGATTTTATATTTAAAGTAATGATTATTATCTTAAATATAATGATTCATTACTTAGAATTATAGATACAGTAACAAAAATTATACTTATTTAATATTTATAAAGTTGGAATTAAACGGAAATAAATTTACTGTTATTCATTAAACCATCAATGTTGTTTTTATTCGGATTTTATTTTGCGCTTAATATATTTTGCACGAGCTGGCAATGTATTCTGACTGCAAAATGGGTGGGTTGGTCCGACCAGGCAGGACTACACTCCAAAGAATACCAGCATAATGTTGACATATTTTGTATTGTAACAATCTAAAACTAGGGTCTTATTTTCAATAACGAAACATTTTATCATAGGTCCTAATGTGGTCAATGCATCTGCATTTTGGTTGTTAGTCGAAGATAGACGTAGGTATCTATGAGTTACAGCATCAGGTGCACTGTGTGCTGGCTTATCACTTTGCAAGTTTTAGTACTGTGGCAAGGGCGATTACCTTTTAAAATCGCTCATACGCTCCTTCCCGATACCAGTCTGAATATGTCTTTCATGAATCTGACAACACCTACCGTTACCGTTACCGTTACCGTTACAGCCTATTAAAGTCCACTGCTGAACATAGGACTCTTCCATAGATTGCCTTATAGGCGCGATATTTGTTATAGTTGACACGCTTGGCAAGCGGGTTGGCAAACGAAGTTTTTTTTTAATTTAGTCGTTATTAAAAAGTCGCTGTCTATTTTCTGATTTGTTTCCCTCTGTTTCCACGACATCCACGGGATGATAAGGGTTTGTGGATATTCTTACTCCGCCACTACACGGTAAAACCTATAGGAGAAAATTGGTTGGATAGTTCATTTTAGTCACCGTTGCACGGTAAGTCAATGTTATACCGTATTACCACCAGCACTGTCATCATCATCATCATCATTACATTCCTTAACAGATCTATTGCTAAACATAAGCTTTCTTCAAGATATTCACGGTCCTTAGCCACCAGCATCCATCGACTTCTTGCATATTTTTTAACATTTAGTGTGGAGGGAGCTGCCACTCAGGAAACTTTCTTCAGCATCGGCTCTGCAAGCTGTATGGCCGGCCTATTGCCACTTCTGATTGCTGATCGGTTGGGTTATGTCAGTTGATCTGCTTTTACCGCGGATATCTTATTACATATTCACTTATAATATCACACAACACTACGAGTATAACTCTCTTCATAGTTCGTTGAGTGATCTTAGCTTCTTTTTACGGCCCGCCGTGAGAGACCAGTGAAAGACTTGGAGCCATATGTCATGGCCATCAACACGTACTGGTTGAACACATGTTTTCAGTATTTTGTGGAATATCCGACGAGATTATGTATTGTATCTCCCGAACGGTGCTCACCCAAATCGGATCTTTAGTATCCTCATGTAGCAATAGGATTAAATGTTGATCGAAAATTGTAGCTCTTATTTTTTTTTATCTAAACACGTAACAAAAACACAAAGGGAAGACAATCTAAAATATAGAGTAAAGAACAAAAAAGGAAATTAAAATTTAAATAGAAGCAAAATGTAATATCCGGCGTTGTTCCTTTAAAATTTTGATGTAACTTTCTTCTTCGTTGGTTATGTTCTACAGGTTCTGTGTAACAATATTATTAATAAATGAAATTTCGTATATTTTTTGAAATTTAGCTGATTAATCTGACTTTTGTGTATCGTCAGAGATTTGAAAATGTTCAATTTGAATAGCGTTAATGCGCCCTATTACATAAAATAACAACGTTGAAGCTGGTTATCCGATCTCGTTCGTAGCATTTGAGAATCTATTTAACAACCTATAATTTATACAACATGCGTATTGTATCACTATATATAAAAATCAATTTCGTGTGTGCGCAAAGGATCTCTAGATTGATTAGATTAGATTAGATTTACATTTAGACCCGGTAAGTAGCGCTTTTGTCGAGGTCCCGAAATCACCTATGCAACAAGAAGGAGGATCGGTAGTAGGTATACATAGCGATAACGCGAATATGCGCGTGAATACTTCGTCACTATGTGCTAAGATGCAAGCACATTTATACGTCGTAGAGCCATGCTACAGCTATATTAATGGTACAGTTCTAGCACGAATTAGTCGGCTGGACCGGGGAAGGATCACGTTCTCACAGAATACCAGCGTAAAATAGCAGCTTAATGCTGTTGTGTAGTGTAGAGTGTAGAGAATAGGAGACCTTTTTTACAAAAAAAAACATCGCTTCGCTGTCGATAAGCTCCCGAACATCTAAAGCGCTACTATGATGGACTTTGCTTGTGTAGCTACACTTCAGTCTGCCCACAGACATAGTGCGTAGTGGATGTGTAAAGTGAATTGGAGTTTGGGACGTATCTTCGACAATAACAGTTTTTGAAGAGATGCGAAGATGAATAATTTTATGAGATTTTTGAATAAGTACTGCAACCATCTAAAACTGTCCCCTGCAGTCAAAAACCTAGTAAAAATAATTATTCGCTGATGGCAGCGATTATATGGATAATATAGAGCGATTGTGGCGGCGTAATATGGGACGAAACGGTGCGTTTCATCTCAAAAATCTATTTTTTTTTGTTTCTTAAGAGGGTTTTAGGACAAGGAAATGTCCGCCGCGTTGTATCAATGCGTGTTGGCAAAATTCACATGTCTTCGATATAATATTTTTTCTTATTTCTCAGATATTCAGGTCTCCTTACAACATTTCCCTTTACCACCGAGCATGTGGTAAATCAACACTTAAAATTGCAATTAACTATTTCATTGGTGCCGGCGGGAATCGAACCAGGGTTGCTTGCGTACTGTGAAATTGAATGAATGAATGTATATAAAAGTGAGTATGATTAATAAATAAAAATTGGAATCAAATCTATTGAGAACACACAAATCAATTACAGCAGCTGCTGATTGAACAATATACTGGAATTAAAACTCTAGGCGGGTAGATTAGCGAGTGCAGTGTCGAATATATCAGTCCCTGTGTGTCGAGCCTCGGGTCAAAATATCAGGGTAATTCAACTTGAGATAATTATGAGATGGTTATACTGAGTAGTGGCGGTGTTAGAATATCTATTTCTCATATAGGGGGTGTCGTAAGAGGTGGCAGAGGGAAACAAATCAAGACATAGGCAGCAGCATCTTTCTAATATGGCAAGTATGGCAACTATGGCAAATATTCTATTATAAAACAGTCCATAAACTCCCAATAGGGTAGCCTATGTTAAGCAGTGGATATTGTTACGAGTTGATACGAATAAAAAAGGTTGTTATAGTACCCATGAGATTTTTAAGGCATATTCTATAGTCGATTCCTACAATTTCCAAAAAATATACTAACAATAATTTCTACATAATTTTTATTTGTAATTTAGTAATGTAGTGTTTATTTTTATTTGCATTTTTCACCTCTCATAGTCACGCAGGAAAAATTATGTTTTGGGTTGTAATTTGTTTTTATTTTATTTGTTTCTCTTTGTGCTTTTATTTTTAGGTCTTTTATATCTTACTTAACACTATACTTACTTTTAAAATTGAATAGGAGGAAAGTATGATAAGAAAGAAAGAAAGAAAGATTTATTGCAGCACGCCACAAACATCAGTAGGCACTTAAATTTTAACATTTGTGGACACATCAATTATAAACATTATAACAAACAAAAACAAAAATAGGAAACAAAACAACAATTTGACGGATAAAACAATTTAAAAGTATGTATACTTATAGATTATAATTAAAAAAAATAGAAAGACAGAAAAAATCGAAAACATTGTGGCGCGTCATACAAACGGACCTC